TGTGTGGTGGATGCAGTGACTGTAAGAATGATTCGGAGTATGTGTAGTGTGTGTGTGGTGGATGCAGTGACTGTAAGAATGATTCGGAGTATGTGTAGTATGTGTGTGTTGAATGCAGTGTCTGTAAGAATGATTCGGAGTATGTGTAGTGCATGTGTGGTGGATGAAGTGTCTGTAAGAATGAGTTGGAGTATGTGTAGTGTGTGTGTGGTGGATGCAGTGACTGTAAGAATGATTCGGAGTATGTGTAGTGTGTGTGGTGGATGCAGTGTCTGTAAGAATGATTCGGAATATGTGTAGTGTGTGTGTGTGTTGAATGCAGTGACTGTAAGAATGATTCAGAGTATGTGTAGTGTGTGTGTGGTGGATGCAGTGACTGTAAGAATGATTTGGAGTATGTGTAGTACATGTGTGGTGGATTCAGTGTCTGTACGAAAGAGTCGGAGTATGTGTAATGTGTGTGGTGGATGCAGTGTCTGTAAGAATGATTTGGAATATGTGTAGTGTGTGTGTGTTGAATGCAGTGTCTGTAAGAATAATTCGGAGTATGTGTAGTGGATGCAGTGTCTGTAAGAATGATTCGGAGTATGTGCAGTTTGTGTGTGTGGTGGATGCAGTGACTGTAAGAATGATTCGGAGTATGTGTAGTATGTGTGTGTTGAATGCAGTGTCTGTAAGAATGATTCGGAGTATGTGTAGTGCATGTGTGGTGGATGCAGTGTCTGTAAGAATGATACGGAGTATGTGTAGTGTGTGTGTGGTGGATGCAGTGACTGTAAGAATGATTCGAAGTAAGTGTAGTATGTGTGTGTTGAATGCAGTGTCTGTAAGAATGATTTGGAGTATGTGTAGTGCATGTGTGGTGGATGCAGTGTCTGTAAGGATGATTTGGAGTATGTGTAGTGTGTGTGTGGTGGATGCAGTGTCTGTAAGAATGATTTGGAATATGTGTACTGTGTGTGTGGTGGATGCAGTGACTGTAAGAATGATTTGGAGTATGTGTAGTGCGTGTGTGGTGAATGCAGTGTCTGTAAGAATGATTCGGAGTATGTGTAGTGTGTGTGTGGTGGATGCAGTGACTGTAAGAATGATTCAGAGTATGTGTAGTGCATGTGTGGTGGATGCAGTGTCTGTAAGAATGATTTGGAATATGTGTAGTGTGTGTGTGGTGGATGCAGTGACTGTAAGAATGATTTGGAGTATGTGTAGTGCGTGTGTGGTGAATGCAGTGTCTGTAAGAATGATTCGGAGTATGTGTAGTGTGTGTGTGGTGGATGCAGTGACTGTAAGAATGATTCAGAGTATGTGTAGTGCATGTGTGGTGGATGCAGTGTCTGTAAGAATGATTTGGAATATGTGTAGTGTGTGTGGTGGATGCAGTGACTGTAAGAATGATTTGGAGTATGTGTAGTGCGTGTGTGGTGAATGCAGTGTCTGTAAGAATGATTCAGAGTATGTGTAGTGCATGTGTGGTGGATGCAGTGTCTGTAAGAATGAGTCGGAGTATGTGTAGTGTGTGTGTGGTGGATGCAGTGACTGTAAGAATGATTCGGAGTATGTGTAGTGTGTGTGGTGGATGCAGTGTCTGTGAGAATGATTTGGAATATGTGTAGCGTGTGTGTGGTGGATGCAGTGTCTGTAAGAATGATTTGGAATATGTGTAGTGTGTGTGGTGGATGCAGTATGAGTATTGGGTGCAGAATTTTTTAGTACATATGTGGAGTAGGATCTGGGCTGCATTCTGTGGTAAAAAGTTGTTGTTTTTAACTCATCATCAATTTACTAATTGTATTTCCCTCTGCATACATTACACTCCCTGGTGGTCCGGTAGCATTGTGCAGGGTGCCAGGTGCTGTGTAGTGAAGATTAGGACCAGCCAACATGTTCTTCAGCTTCCGGGAGCTCCTCTCTCTAACTCTTGGAGAGAGTTTATGGAAACTGAGGATTGCGCCTGCTGGGCCCCCGTTCACTATCTTGCATGCGAAGGCCAGCTGGGGCAGTGGTGGAATTAACGTAGAGAGGGGATTTATCCATCCTTGCAGAGTTGTATTTAGCACTGAACAGTGTTTGTGTGTTTGAAGTCATGTTTTCGTATGGAGTATGTGTCTGTGAATGTTGGAGTTTGAATGCAGGTGTGGATTTGTGTGTAGTGTATACACTGCCACATACACACCACAATTTTTATATTTGGAGCCACCCTCCTGTTAGCATACGTTTTGTCTGCAGAAGTGTGCTGCTGGTTGAGGATGATGTGTGTGGGTCTTGCTGCAGCTCACACTACTCTCCCTCTCACTGCTGCCTGTATTATGCCTCCTCTAACCCCCATGGTGCTTTTTCTCTCTCTCTGGGAGGAAGTGACCGGCTCTCAGTTCCTCCCAGACGGCCAATATTACAGGGGCCCTTAAAGTGCCACGGCACCTGACCGAGCCCCTGTTATGCAGTACCCATTGTGTGAATGGGCTACCGATGGGCCCTTCCAGTGTGCTGGCTCTGGCTCTGGGAATGTATGGCAGGGTGAATGGGCCTCCAAGAACTGCATCATGGGGGGGGAAGGGGCATACAAATCGTATATAAACAATTCCTGTAGTTAAGGCTATATGTATTTAGCCACCACAAAGAGAGGAATGGGTGAAACTTTACAAAAGTGAAAAAATACGAGACACTGAATTTCCTGAAAGATTTATTAGTTCTATTTATTTATTTTTTATCATTTTCTTAATGTATTTATTTTTTACTTGTTTTAAACACTGGAACGAAGGTAAACGTAAATATAATCTATAAGGCAGACAGAGAAAGGTGATATAGACTGTGTGCCAAGCACATCATTTCTTACCCAACAAAGCTCAAATCAAACCATGAACTATAAATCCTGTTCCATCTCTCCGATTCTCTGTTACTCGGTCTGCCATTATATTATCCTTCTGGAAAACCTTGTTTGTCTTCGTTCCTTTGGCCTTAGCTGTCTGCTGTCACCAGTCAATGCTGCGGATTGCAACTGCTTGCAATAAAAACCTTGAATCCTTCCTCAGGGACTGATATAGGAGAACGATCACATCCAGGGAAAACACAGCCAATCGTTTTATTCTACTGCTTTGATTATGTTTTATTATTACGATGAAGGAAACACATTGCAAATTATTCACTAAATCAGGTGGATAATTAATAAGTCAATTAAAATATTTATTGAATTCTGCATGTTTTTAGTAAATACCAACAAGAAATACCATCCTTTAAGTATAACCTGGGAGTGTTCATTCTTGTTTTGAATGTATTGCCCACAAGTTCATTACATTAAAATATGCAAACAAAATACATACAGCTACAATTTTATACTGAATGACCGGATCGTCAGATATCTTTCAAATGGAAGAAAAAAATGCCTCAATCTAAAACTAAGGGTCAATAAATTACCTTTATTCAGGTGAAGCAAATATACAGCTAGGACAAACAGGTGGGAAGATATAGACCACAACCAATGCGTTTTGTGCCTTGCTGGCACTTTCTCAGAAGAATCTAATGAAATGTCCTCACTGGCTGCTCAATTCGAAGGCTAAGTATTTTCATGATCATTGCACATCTACCAGGCCAACGTCATCACCCATATCATGAGAGACATTAGAATGAGCTCCATGAAATAATATTCACCTGGGTGAGGCAGTACTGTGTGTCACATTTCAAGGTGAGCAAATTCCAAACATTTTTCATGCAAATGTCATGGACATGTCTTTCACAAACGTGGTGAAGGAAAATCACCTCACAATTACTGCCAAACTAATAGA